ACATTCTAATACAAAAGTAAATAAGTATAAAACTGGACTGGTGAGAAGTCATATCTCCACTACTGTTAGCAATGCCAATACGATATTGTATACTACGAATATCTATGGAACTTTCATCCAAGGAATCTATGCACAGGTTGCAGAAACAACGTCACAAACACTCTCATATATCAAACAGTCATTTACGACCTCATCAAAAACTATCCAATCATCAAAAGTTGACACTTCGCATGTAACTGGTTTAGTTTCTTCTGTTATTAACACCAAAGTGACCGGAGACACGACAACTTATTATACTACTGAAATACATGGCACCTATATTGGGCAGTATTATGCTCAGTTAGCCCGTACACGGTCCAGAACTGAAACAAAACCCTCTGAAACAAAGATACTTACTTCTAGGCCTAGTGAATATAAAACTGGTATATTGTCTACCAGTATTTATAGTAGTGAAATAAACAACGATTTGACAACTCAGCATATTTATCAAATTCATGGAACTTTTATTGGTGGAGTGTATGCTCACATTCAAAGGTCTACGACTAAAATATTGCCAATTAAACCAACGCTATTAGAGGACACAGTTTCTTCTAAAACAGGTCTTGTGTCTGCAGCTACAAGTACAGAAGTAAATGATGGGACAACAACTGTCCATACTTCTCAGATTTATGGAACATACGTTGGAGGATTCTATGCACATGTGGCTAGACAAACATCTGAAGTGTTGCCAGTTATTAAATCCAAAGAACATGACAAAACAGGGGATAACCGAAATATAGAGGGTATAATATCGTCAACTGTTAGTACACAAATACGTGATCATACTACGACCATTTACACCACAGAAGTCTATGGGACTTATTTCAATGGCTTTTATGCACATGTGGCTCGCAGTAGTTCTAGTGTCATTACACCAACCCCTACAAAAAGAAACAGTCAAACTACAGGATTGATATCAACTGAAACTTCAAGTGAGATCAATGACGGAACTATAACTCTTCATACCACTCAAATCTATGGAACACATTTCAATGGCTTTTATGCACATGTAGCAAAAAGTACGTCCAGAATATTAGAAAACTCTGTAAAATTAGCACAAGTTAAGAATATTTATCAAACACTAGCAAGCTATTATATTGATGATATTATGCCTACATCACAAAATGACAACCAAATCTATATATCGACTACAGAAATTGAAACATCTTTGTCTCTGAATATCTTTCATTCTAAAGAAAATAGCTTTTCAATGGAATTTACAAATAGTGAAGACAATGGAATTGAAGAACTTGATACACAATTTCCTGTAACAAAACCTATTGAAGATATTCATTCTCACTCAACTTCAAATGAAGAAACTAGATTGTACCCAAGCCCGGGTGTAGGTTCAGATAATATACTGCGTTCTTTTGACGTTTCTGTTACTTCACCTTTAACTCCACAAGATATTGATTATAGTGATAGTGTTAATAAGAAGCAAAGCAAGCAACTAATCCATAGTGACCATAGTGAAGAACCTAAACTGCAAAAAAGCGAAAACGTTTATGAAGAAGGAACCTCACAAAAAGTTATACATTTTCCTTCACCCTTAAAACCAACAAAAAGAAACGAAATAAGAACAGATGATGAAGATATAGATTACGATTACTTTCATGAATACAAGGAAGAACTTTCCACAAGTGGAAAGGTAATCGATGATACTGGGGAAGCAGAAAGTGATGCCTCTAATAATGGTCTAAAAAATTCACATTCTAACACATCTTTGCTAGCACAAAATAATCAGAAAGAGGACTTTGATTATTATGATGACGATCATTACAAAGATGACGAGAAACATCATGATAATCAGCAGGAGAAAGAGGCAACAGAACGACCAGTTATTTTTATTTCAGGCCGAAATCAACTTGATAGATCAAGGAATTATTTCAGTACTAGCAGGTTTCGACCTTTTCCTAGGCATTCAAAAACTTCTGAAGAAATAAATGATGATGGTTACAAAGATGATTATGACAGTAAGAGCTCCAACAATGCAGAAGACAAGACCAGTACAGAAGCTCCTATTGAGGAACAAAAGTATAAAATCCGAATTCGACCATTTCGTTCCAGGTCTAGGCCAACATTCCTTACACCAATAAAATCATCAAGTCAGCCTTCCTTCACTTTGAAACTTCGTCGACCATCTTTCACTCGTCGATTTAACCCCTTTGGGAAAGATCCAGAGGAAGAAAATGAAGAACTAGAAAGAGATCACAGAACAGAGCCTGAAGAACATGATGAACTAGAAGCAAGTGAAGCAATATTAAATACAGCAGATCCTCAGAATCTTTCATCTGACCAATTGGAAAGTAATAAAAGGCGCCCCTTCTTATCAAGACCAACAAATCGCTATTTGGGAAGACGTAGGAGACTTCCTTTTTTAAAGGGACGAAGTTCTACTTTTTCTTCTTCGCATGTGGGAACAAGATCTGACCAAGAAAACACAGCTTTTGAGGAAGATAATAATACAGAAGACTATGAAATTACAGAATCACCTAATAAGGAAGAAACTGAGGAAGAAAGGCCAACACAATACAGCCGAACTAGTTTTAGACGACGATCTAGAACATTCGGAAGAAGAAGCTTTGGAACATTTCGAAGAACATCTAAAACAAATGAAGAGGGAATAAAGAATGAAGACGAAAAAGTTTTTACATCAAACAGTCGCAAAACTAAAGTTCGAATGAGACGTCCTGAAGTCAGCATTTTCAGGCAGCACAATCATGGTTTACGAACTTCCTCTAATTCTGTGAATCAAGATGAACCTGAAGATGATAGAGTAACCTCACGCAATCGATTTCATTTACGGAATCAAAGAAATCGGTCATCATTTGATTCCAGGTCTAGAAGAAAGTCGTTTTTAACCTCTACATACCACTCAACTTTGAAATCATCTCATCGTATCAAAACTCCAGTGACTGTTAGTTCGGTTATTACTAAAGTAAAAACTTTACCTATTTATCATGGATTTCGGACATCATATGCTACCTTAACGACAACTGCTATAGAATCAAGTGTTATTGATCCTTCCGAGTATTCGACTGTCACGTCAGATGGTACAGTAAAAACAATATACTCTTCCAAAGTTGGAGTTCCTGATTTAAATGGCCCAACCGATAATTTGTATACAACAGTTACAGAAATAGTAATAACGACTACTTCATGGGAGTCTATTAGAACCGTTCAGAGATTAATTGGTTATAGTACAAGAACTGATACGGTAACGAGTCATCAGGTCTATACAACGCTTTCAACGTTATACAGCACTATTACTCCGGAAATACAAACTCCATCTGTTCTCCAACCACCTTTTCCTGCTCCATTTTTCCCTCCTCCTGGGCAAAATAGTGTGAGCTATATAACATCCTCGAACTCCTTTGTGACAACTGAAACAATTTTGTCCACAAAGGTTCTTCCAGTATTCTTAAGAGGTAGAACACATTATCGAACTCTTACAAGCACAAGTTTCTCTGAGAGCACTGTCGTTAAAACGTCAACTATCAAGGTTCCGCAAATTCAAACTCCTCCGTCATTTATTCCACAGCCATATTTTCCATTCCAACAGCTAACCACGCAACTAACATTTTATGTAACTGGAATTGATGGTGGTGTAAAGCCTGTTGTTACCAATGTAGCAGTTCCATTTTTTCAACAACCAATGATACATACGAAAGTTGCAAGGAGTTTGCATAGTACGTTCTTAAGACCAGAAACCTCGGTGACTATGGAATCTTTGTTTTCACTGTATCACGAGAAAGATGAATATCAAGAAATGAATTCAAATTTGTTAAGCTCAGGAGAAGGATTTTTTAGTGGGATGATTGATGTAACACATTCAGCTATCCAAACGGAATCATTAAAAAACGCAAAGAACCAGGTTCTAAGCACAGGAACTCCAGATGATGTTACAACTATATTTAAAGGTCCAACGAGAGAAATCTACGAAGCATCTGCCATGTTTTGGAAAAATGTTGCCAAAAATTCCAAAGATATGCTGAAAGTAGAAAAGCTTGAAACAAATAAAGTATCGGAAATGAAAAAACGAAAATATGTTGAAGAAAAGTATGATTTGAATTATTCTTTCAAGAAAAGGAAACTTCAACAAATTAACACACACGAAAATGATGCGGATTATGAAGATTATCAACACTTTATATCTATAGAGAGCAAAGACAAGCAAACAAACAGCTACAAAACAATTGCTGCAGTGACTTCTCCGAAAGAAACTTCAAGTCTCGGTGAGTTTGATTGTTCTAGCCAAGTGAAGCTCATAGTCGTAATTTAACTAAATACAATTTTCATTTCTAACTCATTAAATTAAAACACAATAAATCATTCTAATATATTTAATAAATTATTGTGCTATTCCTTAGAAATAAATTGTCGACATTTTTTCAGTTGTTTCTTTATTAAACCTATCAAAAAATAATTATTTTCAAAGATACTAAAAACAACAAATTTATTGGTTACGGAAATTTGCAAAAAATTATACAAGGGACATCTGACAAAGTTGTCTCTAATTTTGAGCTGTTAGACTAGAGTGCAGGCACCTATTCAACAGCACCAACCGCCAGCTCTTGGACAACTCTAATCAAATAAGCGGGTTTGAACGTGACTCCGAAATGGGATTCACGTTCGACCCACAACACCATTTTGCAGTTAGATCTCTGAGGTTTGTGTGACTTTTATACAAAAACAAATTCGATGATTTGACAAAACCTATAATTATTACACTTAGGACAGAAGGAGGGACTGAAGAAGAATTTCCAACACCGATTGACGAGTCTCCCATTGACAGAATCAGTGTTTTAAGAAAGAGAAAGAAGGGCCGAACTGTTATCCGCAGAATTAAACCTTCTGAGGGTAGAGTAAATAATAAACTCCTAAGAAACAGGCCTGTAATAATAAGAAGAACTAGGCTAAATCAGGTTTTACCTTCACTAATTACAACACCAGCGCACAACATGGATTTACAAAGAACATTATTAGATGTGGATCGTATTCTTCCGTTAAATAATTCAAAGAAAGAAACAGATGAAACTTCAACTCCAAAAAATGTAAGACGCATAATTCGTTTAAAACGCCCATTAGGACGATCATTAGGAAACAAACGAATTATTGTAACCAAAAGGTTGCTTTCCAAAATACCATCACAAAATGCTGTTTCTTTACAAACAAGGAAACCTAGTTTCGGTAGAGATGTCAATAATGAAGAGAGTAGTAATGTTTTGGAAGTCGAATCATTTCATAATTTTTTTTATTCTACTGCTTTACCTCTGACCTTTTACACCACGTTTACTTACTTTACGACATTTCTTCAAGGAACTATTCCTCTTTACACCAGCAGAGAAGCTGTGCGATCCAGTATTATACTACAGACACCAAGTCCTGATATAGTGAGCATCATTCAAAGTCATTCTGGCTATAAAACGGTTCTAGGAGATAAGAAAATTACACCTCTTGGTTCTAGATCCCGTGAAGGAACAACGACTATAGTTAATCTTGGGTCCAGAGTTCAAGTTTTTAACAATGATATTCAACGTGCAGTTTTCGCAACACCATCTGCTCAAACATTTGATGAGATGCAGACAGTAAATTTAAACTACTTAGATTCTATTACTAAGACGTACTATACATATTTCACTTATTATTACACGTTTTATAATAGTTTTGAGACCCAGAAGTCAACTCGTAGTGAAATCACATCAAGTACACTAGTACCAGGTGAAAAGTTTCTAAAATACTCTTTTGTAAATACGATAGATAGCAATGGCTTTCTTACTGTTGATCCAACAAACCGTGTAGTAAATCTCGGATCAACAGATATAGATGGCACAACCACACAAATTCAACTTGCGCTTCAAACACGCCTGAAATTGAATGGAATTCAAAATGCTGTTCTTGAGACGGACTTGTTGATAGCCACACCAGAGCCATCTAAAACCACTAGTACAATTTTACCATCAAACAACGTAAACGACGTCATTGGCTCTTCAAAACATGACTATTCCTCGTTTGATCGTGCACAGTTACAAGCGTCATACTTTTCAGTTGAAGATTCTAGTTTCTCAAACCATCATTCTCCTGTACTTGATGCTACGCCAAAAATCCCATCCACAGAACAAGCAGATGTTACTGCATTAGCCGACAAACCTAAGGTACGTGTGGTCACATCCATTATACGACGACCTTCTGGTTCTTTGAGAAGTCGAACATTTTCCCAAAGGCCGGGTGTGCGTATTAGAGTGAAACCTGTTACTTCAAAAGCCAGAACAACTACTGACTTCACAGGCTCGGCTCAACCTAGTACCTTAACATATTTAGATTCACGTCTGAGTAGCAGTTTATCATTCTCAACAAACGTTCTTGTATCTTCATCAGAAAATATATTAGCAAACGCAGAATTGGATGAAAATTTAGTTAGTGATATTGAACAAACATCTCCTAATATTGTTCCAACTCCTACATTGACTTCATCTTTAGATAATTCAATTGAAAGCATACCCACATTGATTACATCTGAAACAGAAACAACATCTATGTCCAGAAAAAGATTAAAAATCACAGTTCGAAGACCTATTACAGGTATACAATCGAGTAGAACGACTACAAGATTTGTTCTGCCGTCTCGACTTGATGTCACACGTCGACCTAAGTACTATGTCGTTACTAGAACCAACCCACTTGGTATTGTTCACCCATCAGTAGGGCCATATGGCATTAAAGTAAGTAGAAGGTTTAGACCTTCGGTTATCAAAGAACCAATTTTAAGAACTGGGGTTGATGGTTACACTGACAGTTCGAGCTTACCACAAACAGTGAAACCGACTGAGGCAGTTGTGCTTACATTCTTCACGACTACCACCTTCACCGTTCCTTATACAGTGGGAGATCAAACCCTGTACACAACCGTGGAGCAAACCAATTCACGAATTGTGACCCAGCCTGTTGGTAAGTATTTATCATATGTTTTTGAAAATTATTAACTTCAAAGTAAAAAAAAACAACAAAGAAACTTATTTGTGAAATTTGAGTTAGATTTTACAGCTTTCTTGCATACAAACTAACTAGTATAACAATTTATCTTGATAAAATACCCATACAAAAATAAATCTAAATATATTCTATAAAACAAAATCCTACAAATTTTCTAAGGAAAAACACTCAGGTTTGACTTTTAGATAACCTGTAGAATGTATTTAAGTAAACCTAAATAATATCTGTAGAATATCTTTAGGAAAGTGGGATATTTTTCTATATCTGTTCTAAACGCTTCTAAAAACATTATATAGAGAAATTATATTGAAGTTCCGAAGATCTTTGAAGACATTCTATAAAACGATTCTTTTGGATTTGATAGAATTCGATTGATTCCGAGAACATTCTATAAATTAAATTGTCTTGATTTATTATGAAAAAGTGATCATAATTTTAAGTTTTCATAAGACAATATTTTTCATGGTAACAAAACAATTCTGATAAACTTATTTACAACATATGATACATCAATATTTAGGAAAGCTATGAAAACAAATGACACAAAAATCATTAATTACCTTCCCAGTACAGCAGAATACAATTTAAACTCTTCTACCATCTCAGTTACTGTTGTTTCATCTGATACACGTGTGATCCTTGATCAATGATTAATTATATACTGGATCAAAACCCTGGCTCTTCCTCCAGATGTAAGTAATGTTTATTTACAAATTACAGTAAATACCATGCATATAGGAACTATCACACTATACAGCTTTATTCCACACACACAATAAAAAAAAACTTGTACAAACACCTGCTGAAATTAAGTATAAAATCGTGATAAACATTCCAAGTCTATCAAACTTTATGGAATTGCTAAATAATTATATTCTACAAGGGTTGTATACAGTTTCTATATAATATAAAACTGATAGTGTACTTACAGACTTAAAAGAATAACTCAGAATAAACTTCAGTGTATATGAATTCTATTGATAATTAATAAATAATCACCCAATTAAATAAATGCTGATCGATATTAGAGATTGTTGTTTATATTTTAATTTTTGATAATATGTATTTCTTCGATAACTTATAGTGGCATTTAACTGTACTGACAATTACGGAAAACAGTGTAATTTTTTTGTGTGCAATTTTCATTAAATAATACTCTTAATATAATTATCCATATGTTGGAACTTTCATTTGGACTTGTTTTGAATTAAGTAAATTTCTTGATTTGTTTAGGGCAATCCTTTAAATTTGAAGTTACGCCATCTCTCAGCTATTCTACAGTATCTAGACAAAGTGTTTCATTTGTCGACAATCTTCTTAGTAGTTCTGCATATCCTAAAATTTCAAGCTCCCTTTCTACTGAGCTAACTTCAAGTTCTTTTGTGAAACTAGATTCATTATCGTCGTTTTTAATATCGTCAGGTATGTATGTAATAATGTACTGTAAAAATTGCAAACCAAGTTTCTTCATTGATTAGAAAACAATATTTGTTATATTCGAAACAAGGCATTTGGTTGCAGAAGATAACATTTCTTAATGGACCTAAGCACTGAAATTATTGTAACCATTAAAATTACATTTTCTACATTGTTTGCTTTATGTAATAATTCAGTTTATGATGTGCAATCTACATAACAGTTACTACGTTACTAATAAGAATCGGCTATATAGAAATATGTTATTTATTGGTAAGAAATCCAGAAACAAGCCCTAAAATATTTTCTAATGAATGTTTGAAATGAGCTTAAAGAAAGAATATCTTTGGTAACGAAAATACAAAAATAACTTAACTAATAATTACTTTAAAGCCACGTTTAAATTAAAAATCTAATTTTTAACAACCAACATGTATCTTGGTTAAATATTTCCAATACACTTTTTATCACTTGATTTTAGAAAATTACTAAAAAATCATATATGTTTATCTTATTAGGAACAGAGAATACTATACCAACGTTTACACCCGAAGAACTTATTGAGCTTCAAAGGTCCGTCAAAAATGCATTGAAAGCTCCCTCTCAATCACCAACCACCACAATTTCTGATGACCAGACACTTTTAATAACCGGTGGTTTAGATGGATTACCGACAACACAGTTTTATGACCCTTCGTCTACGCCCTCTGCATTGGCCGAAGCAGTCGAAACAGTGAATGCCATTCTAACCGAATCACCCGTTGTTGACAAGGTTGCTCACAACTTAGAAACACAGTACACTACTTTTACTCTTTACACAACACTTTTCTCTGGAAGCTCTACCATTACTTCTAGTTTTGAAAAGGTGGTTTCTAACGTTATTACTCCTTCTGCTTCAGGAGAACTAACTTCTTTCCTCACTTCACCTTCGTTTAATACTCAAGTATCTAAAAAGGAACTAATATCTGAGAAGTTTTCTAAGTTGGTAGAAACAAGTGAAGTACTCAAAACTAGCACTGTCTTTAGCACCTCCACCTTCTTTGCTACACTCTTCAATGGTACAAGCTCATTTGTGTCGCCAATAGAAGACGTCCATTCTGAAGTCTACACTATTACTGAACTCACTACTTTCACTCGAACACTTGGTTCAACTTCTTTGCCATCTATTTCGGCTTCAATAGCAACTAAATCTTCCAAACCTGTAATACCTACTCCAGTCTACTCCACTGTAACAGAGTACACTACATATACTAACTTTCTTACTCTGTTCCAAGAAGATTCTTCCATAATTTCAAGCATCGAAGAAGTTGATTCTAATGTATACACCATTACATTGCATGGTTCAATTACAGAATTAAGCACTGCAAACCCAGCGACATCACATAATTCCACACAACCAATACCTATTAGTAGTATATTGGCTCCATCCTTTAGCAGCTTCTTACCTTCAACTAGCACTTTCTCATCTTCTGAAGACAGTTATTTATTACCTGCTGTGATATTTTCACCTGCTGCCGAAAACACCTTGAAAAAGAGCTCCACAGTGTTACCCGCATCTATACCTTCATCATCTCCCACGACAATTGACATTCCTGATACATCTACCTTAGTTAGCAGCACTTCAGAAACAACGGAAGAACCTGAAATTGTAATCACAAGAACCACAACTCAAACAATTTATTCAACTAATACCCATTACGTTACTCTGTTTAGTGGTACGCAAACAATATTGTCCTCCATTGAAGACGTACAATCCAAACTGCTAGCGACAACTGTCACAGAGACAATCAGAGGTTCCATCACCCTGAATCCTGTTATTACGAGCACCATTAATAAAATAACATCCAGAACAACAACTTCAGTTGCTTCTAAGACAATCCCTACAGAATTACTTGAAATCTCTTACCCTAAACTTGTACCGTCTTTACAGACGTATCTTACCACCTATACGTACTTCACAACGCTGAAGAGTGGTACCAACACGATTGTGTCCAGCAAGGAAGAGATAGCAACTTCATACATCACTCTTTTTGTACCAGAATCGTCTCTTATTGAGAGCAGTGAGCTTAACGCGGACTCTATAACCAAACCATACGTGTCTTACAGAACCACGACGGAGTACAGCACCTACACATTTTTCACCACCTTATTTGATGGTGAAGACCAAGTTACTATTACAAATGAGCAAGTTATTCCGCAAGTTAAAACATCAACGATAACTGTATCACCTGCAGATTTCTCATCCATAACGCCAATGACATCGTCCGAGAGTGTATTGACTTTTTACTCCACTTACACATATTATACAACGTTTGTAACTGGAACCAAAACAACAATTTCTTCTAGCCTAAGCTCAGTCACACAGTTTGTAACAATGCACCCAGCTACAAGTAAGGAAAAAACAGGATCAAGTTCCTTATTAGTTGAGCCATCACTTCCTGTAACTATAGACGCTGTGTCCACTATTACCGACTCACTAGAAACTGCGGTTATTTTAACTAAAGCGACAACTTCAACACCTAGCACTACTAGTGCAGAAAACTTTGGAACTACTTTTAGTTCCAGTAACCCTACTTCATTGGTTGTAAGTAGTGAAACGGCGGAAAATTCTCCAAGTATGGTAAGTCTGAAAGAATCCACTTCTCTAATAACAAGCAGTAGTGAGTTAGAAGACATAGTAAGTATAGTTACTATAGTATCCACTGCTGTTTCAACTGAAGAGGCTACTTCGGAAGTAATAAACGCTTCTTCTACAGAAGAAGAAACTTCTTCCGTGCATGTAGAAACAAGAATTTCTGTTCAGACTAGTGTGTCTGTTGATAGCAACGTAGCATCACATTTAGACTCTAGTGTGGCCACCAAAGTAGAGACTGTCACTAAGTTAGAAAGTAGCTCTGTTGCAATAGCTGACGAAAAACAAAGTGTAACACCCACCTTTAAAAACGCAGATGTGTTGCTTATTTCTAGTATTAAGCCTTCAGAGACTGAAGAACTGAATAAAAGTATTATATCACCGGTTCCAATCGAGGAAAGTCCTGTTGTTGAGATTAAAAAAATAATAACTACAACAGAAAAAAGTAGTGATACTCTTTCTTTTAACAGCGGAACTTCCACAAAAATAATTGGTGGATCAACTGTTGTTTTCTTTACTGATTTTATATTACCGGGTCTTGAACAGCCGTCTTTGAAACTATCTGCCACACCTTCGATAACTGTCGTCTCAGAAGATAATGACTATAATATTTCACTAGGACCATCCACTTTTGTAATTCCACCGAGTTTTATTGATCAGGAAACAGATCTCGTGAGTCCAGCAGGAAACATTTCGGAGAATACATCTGAAATGGTTGTCATTGAATCAAGTGGTTATGTAGAAAATGTAAATGAGCTTTATCTATCATCAGCTATTTTAGATGACTTAAGAATGCATAGTAAAACATCAACTGAAGAAGAAGATGACATTCAGTCAGGGTCAGTCATAGATTTGTCAGACCTTCTTGGAGGAAATGCCAATATAGCTGGTAATCTGGCAGAGGCAGTGAAAGGTATTTTACACAAAATTAATATTAAAGGAGGTGATGCAAATGAAACAACAGAGAATATCTCAAGCCTGGGATACGACGAAAGTAAAACGGAGACATCTATAAGGCCTAGTGAGAGTGAAACAACAGAAAACATCCCAAGCCTGGGATACGACGAAAGTAAAACGGAGACATCTATAAGGCCTAGTGAGAGTGAAACAACAGAAAACATCCCAAGCCTGGGATACGACGAAAGTAAAACGGAGACATCTATAAGGCCTAGTGATAGTGAAACAACAGAGAATATTCCAAGCCTGGAACATGACGAAAGTAAAACGGAAACATCTATAAGGCCTAGTGATAGTGAAACAACAGAGAATATCTCAAGCCTGGAACACGAGGAAAGTAAAATGGAATCATCTACAAAACCTATTAGTACTGTTAAAACAATAAATCCGACTGGAATACTTTTAGGGACTTTTACCAACGAGAATATTAATCCTAATTTAAAATCACAAAGCTCTGATTTGTCATCTTATGAACAGAAATCTTATGATAGTCAAGAAACACAAATCTTTACAGGAATAAAAACAATATTTTTTGACCCAACAGCTGTTTTTGAAAAGACCACAAAACCAACAGTTTCACTTGATCCTTCCAATTCCGAGTCAAGAAACGAAGACATGCTGAAATCGCAAGAAAGTGTTAGAACTGTTCCTGGACGTATTTCTAGTAAGATTGCTACGCCTGAAATCGAAGCAGGAATAAGTACATCTGTAATAACCGGTTTCAAAACTGTATTCATAGAGACTTCTATGAGAGATATTGAAGATAAAAACCCTTCTCAAAAAGAGATTCAAGCAGAATCCACAGCTCCTCTGGACATGCTAGATCAAGTTAGTAAGAAAATACAGGCTTTGGATAAAACCACAATACTTGGAAGTAGTTCCACGCCACTCCCACTTGATTCTGAATCTAGTAGAAATGATTCAACGCCTACTTCAAATGGGCAAATAATCATAACTAAAACTTCAACAGGAGCTAAAACAATATTTTTCCCGTTCTTTGACAAAGATAGTCAAGCTCCAATGCTTCCAGAAGAAGAAGACAATTCAAGCGCTGATTACACACCTACAAGATATGTTACTAGTCTGGAGTCCTCAACACGAACGTTGATATTAACAACCACTAAGATATATTATACCAGAGACAGTCCACTCACCATAACATCTGTTTTCACTACCACAATTCCACCACGTACTTTTGTGTCTACTTTAATTGGTAGCAAGACAATTCTGGGCACTTTGCTCGAGCCGACAGAGTCAGTGAAGTTTGAAAAATCAACGTTAGCCTCAGAGTCAACGACCAAAGTTACTACAACAACACTCATTTTTAACTCCATCACTACAACAGTGGTTCGTACACTGGTTCTCCGAACTGAAGATTTGATACCATCTACAACGTCCACCTTAACTTCAACCACTGCTGTTGTGAATGTATCAAAAGAAGACACTGGTACTAAAACGTTTTCAACGGATTCGACCACATCTAACCTAAAAGGCAGCATTTCGACAACGGCTAGATCATTTGAAGCTTTCACAGAAAGAGAAGAACAGTTTAAGTCTATATCAAGACAGCCAAAAATTTTAACAAAACCCGAAAATCTGTTAGTAAATCTCACAACTGAGCTTACAGGATTAGTTCCTACATTGAGACACCCGTCAAACCCACTTATTACTTCTGACGCGTCCTCTCCGTCTACGAAACTAGCAACTTTGGATAGAAAAGGTTCGAAGGAAGAAAGCGCACAAGAATACTGCATTCCTCAATGTGATCGAACAAAGAAAGAACAGTGTAAGAAGATAGAAGACACTTGGTCATGTGAATGTGGACCAGGATTCGCTCGGACAGAAACATCCATGAAATGTGAAGGTAAAGTTAATAATATCCATCAAACACAGTTTCTCTTATTTTATTTTATTTTTTGTAAGAATTCGGATGCTTTTTATTGTTCATCTGTTATTCAGGTTCACTATTGTTTTTTTATCACAGCGATTTCTTCTACAGTTCTTCAGATATTAAATTACTAGTGAAAAGCTTGTAATCAGTGTTATCTTAATATTTGAAAGTTTTGTTGTTTATTTTCAGAGGTGAACAGTTATGTTGTATTGCTACGTTTGGCGAAGATGAAGGACTCTGCCCTTACCTACAGAAATGAGTTGTCTAACACTGCATCTCCAGTATTTCAAAAACTCGCCAAGCTGGCGAAGAAAGGCGTACGTATCTGATATGTTAGGTATTCTCTAAACGTTCTTGTTGAAAACAACACATTATTATAGAACAACTCTAACAACTGCCTTGCTTTCCATTTTAGTGCTTTTTCTATGACTATTTCCCTTTTACTCTTATTTATCCGAAAACAAGTGTTTGACATTCAAATATTAAATTAACAAAAATGACAGTTGTTTGAATGTGAAGAACACTATTGCAAGCTGTGATAAAATACATAGACATTTATATACTGTCGTACTAAAACTAATATTATTGCTAGTTTCTGTTGTCCTAACAATGTATTTGATGCTCTTTCTGTATTTTGTTCAATGGAGACTTTGTTTAGAAAACAATCATGAACCTATGTAGAGGTTTATGATTTTTTACTATAAAAATATCATAAATACTATCATAAAATACATAACAAATTTGTCATTATTCAAATTATGTACAATGAGGATCACTAACGCTCCAACTTAAATAATTTGAAGTTATTTATTGCTTTCATTAAAATCGCAAAGTTTACGTAAATGTTGTTACTAAGATCCAAAGTAATAACAGGTATTTTTTTTTTATTTTTTACACCTGATAGGTTAGTCAAGCATACAAAGATTCTAGAATCAACCAGAGTTACGTCAATGTTGACGTAAACAGCATTAGTAACATCAAAAAATTGAATATGTCAAACCACATGGACGAAGGTGTTCTGGTGAACTTTACAGTTCGTGTTAAACGTAATTCTTTAACTGACGAGAAACTCTTGAAGGAAGAGCTCTCTCGTTCTATCGCAGCGTCCAACTACAGTGTTGGAAACACGGAACTTTATGTCAGTCCTTTGGTACAAAGTGTGGAAAACGTCCAAGGTTGGTAAAGAAAGAAGTTCTATGTTTTTTCTAATTCATTCAACATTTTTTCGGTGTTCTCCAGATTTTCTCTTTTTACATGCGTATATTTCTCTAGATCTAAGTATTCAAATAAAAACCTTGTAAAGACCTGCAATAACAGATTAAAGCGTGTTGCACGCAAACTCAAATGGTTGAGTAATCTTGGAAGCTCTTTGAAACGCCTAAATTAAATAAAAAGGTCATTGAATTTAGAGTTAATAGAAAACATTGAATTGACCTTAAATTGAATGACCCTTCTTGTTATCTAAATGAGATATAGAGTAAAATGCATAGCCATTCTTAATTTTGAACTGATAAATTTGGTGGAATGCAGTTATTCAATACCACCCACCGCCACCTGTTGAGCTACTCATTTTCTGACCGAATAGTGGGCTTTAAAATACAAAGTACGTTTTTGTTACAATGGGACGCGAACCAAGATTCACGGTTCGGGCACGCTAACCACTAAGGTCACGACCAACCCGTGGATCAAAAGGTCTATGGTTTAAGTCCGCAATATGAACGTATTTCACATTTCCACTGACTAAGTGCCTTCCCTCTGGTCAGCAATGCCTGAACTCTGGAGCCTCTGGCCTGATGGTTTAGCACCATGTGTTACATAAGGTGAAGTTCGAGTAGAAAATAACAAATATCATACTAAACATAACTGTTTGGAGATTGTTGGCGACGGGTGATAATTGAACTTACTTTCAAGATTGAAAAGTTGTTATCACACTTAAATTTCGTTTCGCGAATCTCTTATTCTTACTTATTATGAAATAACTCGTGTGTTGTCAGTGTAAGCTATGATATTTTGAAAATTAAAAAATATCAAAGTAGAACTGTGTTTGATATTTTATATCAATATTTAATACATCACAATATGTTAATACTTTACACAATAAATATTGTATATATATATATTCAGGTGAAAATAAAACAATATAATCTAAAGAGATAAGAATAAAACCATATTAACGTTACGAGGATATTGAATCTATTCCTATTTGTACTGAATATATTTCATATCACTAGTTATTTATTGTTTTCTAAATATGAATTCCTTTTCCGACATTGGGTTATCAGATGTATTTTAAATCATGTTCGCACAATACACTTTTGTCTTTATTGGCGGCTAGAAATTAAGCTGTATATTTTATTATTAAAAGCAACAAAAACAGTTAATATATAATATGAATACAATGGCTAATTTTTTAAACCTTGCAAAAATGTATTTTCACATCAGGATATTAACGTCTAAAAATAGGCAATATGATACAATAATGGTTCATATATATAACGTGCACTTAATCATTCAGATGTCTCATTTTCCCTTGTGAATGAATGTAAGATTGGGCAATATTTATAGAAAACTTCCAGTATTAATAATATTTATATTATAAAGATAAAATGTAATTCATTAAAATTACCGAAACATGTTTAGAGCACTTACAATCCCCTTCTTTAAGTTATTATAAAGATAAAATCTAATTCATTAAAATTACCGAAACAGCTTTAGAGTATTTACAATCCCCATTTTTAAGTCATTATAAAGATAAAATATAATTCATTAAAATTACCGAAACAGGTTTAGAGCACTTACAATCCCCTTCTTTAAGTTATTATAAAGATAAAATCTATTTCATTAAAATTACCGAAACAGCTTTAGAGCATTTACAATCCCCATTTTTAAGTGGCAATGCTCAATGATTTGTTTATAATTGAATGAATGTTCAGGTAATGCTTGGGCAATCACCACTTTCAAACGATAGTGATCATTGTGATCGAATGAGTTAATGAAAAGATAAATGACAGTATCGAAATACAGATGTGTTTTACGTTCGCATTTTATTAAACGGATTCTTCAATTTTTAATCATATCAAAAATGTTACTATTTAAAACTGAAATATTAGAAAAAAGTACATTTTCTATAAATGTTTACTATTTTTTTTTTCTAAAGTAAGATTGTAAGTGATAAGCAAAAACAATATAGATACAATGAGAGTGTATTATACGTTTTCAAATTAATATACTAAGCATATTCCATAGGGGAGATACCAACATACAAAGTGCATAAAATTTTATGGTTGATAATGCAAGAGAGAATTCGATATTTTGCCTCCTCCCCAAGTCAGTTTTACATAAATACCGGAACAACAGTTTCCCCTAATATTTCTTTTCCTGTTTTTAACAATTTTATCGCCCTATAAGAAATATATTTTTAGAATACGTGTGCATGTCCAGTGATAAATGAATAGGTACTTGTTTACATTTAATACTTGTCTTTGAACTGCATATGTATTTTTTCTTTTTTTTACCTAGTAAATAAGATCTTTTTATTTTACGTGTCAAAATATTTCAATCAAACTTAAGATAATAATAATAATGTAGAACATAGAATATAATGTTATGTCTCTCATAAACTTTACATTGGAGACATTGGGTGCATATTGAACACCAGGCTAAAGGAATATTGTTGACTCCCATGCCATGTATTTGAACATTTTCATGATACGGAACACAAAATTTCAAAATTTCGGTTTTATAGCAAGAGAAAATATACACATATGTAAAAGTAAAGAAGCTATCTTAATCAAACAGTTTTGTTTGTTTGTTGGTAAACACAAATTACAAAATTAGCTATTTTTCTGTGCCCAACATAGGTATTGAAACCCAAATTGTAGTGCTTTTAGTTCAGAAACTTGTCACTGAGCCACGGTGAGGTGGAGGGGGGGGGGCGAAAACCAATTATAACATCTAATAAATAAAATGTTTAGGCTAAATTTGTACTTATCTTTAATCACGGTATTACAACACAGTGGTGTATTTATTGTGCCTTGTTGTTAATGTGTTGTATTATCAGCTGATGTTACCATGCAAAAATAGTGAGATTTATGTTCTATCTTTAACCACTTTACCATTTTTCATAGATTTTGACGAATGCTCGGAAGGTTACAATGACTGTGCAACAACAGCTTCGTGTATTAACCAACCTGGAACATTCACGTGTCAATGTAAGAAGGGGTATGAAGACCTTGATTCCGACCTACCGGGACGTATATGTTTAGGTGAGACAAAATCTATTAACTTTAAGGAAATGCGCTGATTGTTAATCTGGTTGAATAGGGTACATGCGTTAAACATCTGTTAATCAGCAAACATTTAAAACAAACATACTATAATAGTAAAATAATTAATTTTATGTTCTAGAGTATGATAAACAAATGATTTGGGTTTATATGATACTAATAAATGCTTTAGCTACTAAAATGTATTATCATAAAATTTATTTAGTAAAACACAATATTTAAACTTTCAGTCTGTTTGTTGAGATAAAATAGTTATTTTTCATAAAGTAAGTAACATTTTATATATAGCACTATATAGAACTACTGTATAGAAAGCTTTATTCAGTATTGGTTAGTTGTTACCTAAAGATTTCACGAATCCACTTGATATTATAGGTGAGATCAAAGGCTGCGATTATTGTAACGGTCGAGGGGATTGCATCATGGCCGATGGAGGTGCTAGAATTTGCAGGTAAAATAAAAAGAAGAACCCGGTATTATTTGGTCTTTATTTCATATTTAACTGCATTTAACCATAACTCGAGGCTTACTATATATATATATTTATTTATTTGTATGTGTATATATCAGTAATTCTTTCTCTGTGTTTCATTTATATGAAGTTCTAAACATGAATTATTTCCTAAATGCTTTTATTTCATTCATATGAAACTATTCTGTATATGTAGTATGATATCATTTTTGTGTTTTTCACTTATATAAAAATATACTATATATACGTATGTAGTATGATATCATTTTTGTGTTTTTCACTTATATAAAAATATACTATATATACGTATGTAGTATGATATCATTTTTGTGTTTTTCACTTATATAAAAATATACTATATATACGTATGTAGTATGATATCATTTTTGCGTTTTTCACTTATATGAAAATATACTATATATATATGTCTGTGTTTCAGTTTTATGAATATGTTGTAAATGATCTTTATATTTATCAGTTGTCATCGAATGTATTTCGGTAGGCGATGTGAGGTCAATGGCCTTGGTAAGTGCAGTTTTAATATTATATTTTTCCATTAAATAAAGAACAAAACTTTTATCGATTTAAATGGAGTTCACCCAACGAAAGTGAAGAGTTTTAAACATTTAATTTTTTGCGATAAAACGAGCTGTATCTAAATGTTAAGCCTTTGTATTCAAATACAGTCAGCGGCATTTTACATTGTATACAAACAACTTTGTAATAAATACATGTATGTTATGTCAATACTGGAAACCACACTTAAATAGTTGTTTTCACATGTTAACGTCCATGATAGCCTTTGAACTTGTAACGCTAAAGTCCGGAGCTCAATTCCCACAATGGACATAGCAAACAAAGTCAATAACACTCTAGACTTTAAAAAATCCAAAACAAGTTTTATCTTTATCTCCTTTTTTATATGTGAATGAGATTGTGTATGCTATCTTTACACAATTCTCATCCCTGTGAAATTGTTAATTAGCATTTTCTTCGGATAAAGTGATTTTGTTTTACGTGTATTTTAGGTGATACAGACATACTCTTTGACATTTCAATTGGATCGTACGAGATCCTTATGTTTTCGCACTTTTGTAACGATGATGGGTTTTTCCATATTTATTACTATAAAAACATTTGAATTTCCATGTGACATTGGTTTGTTATATCCATACGAAATATATATATATATATCGATTTATAATGACAATAATGTTTTCCTTTTAAAATAACATATGCCCCCCAGTAGCACAGCGGTATGTCTGCGGACTTACAACGCTAGAATCCGGGTTTTGATACCCGTGGTGGGCAGAGCACAGATAGCCCCTTGTGTAGCTTTGTGCTTAATTACAAACGAACAAAACAAAAATAATATATAAAGCTATTCATGATAAACTTTTCAAAGTGTAAGATTGTCAAAAATTTTGTTTCTTCCCGTTATTGACCATTATTTATTTATAAGTTATACTTTAATGAACTTTCATTTTTCTTAATAAGCACACCCACAGTAAAAGACGTTCACTATGTACCAGACGAATACCTGTCTGTAGAAATGAGCGTCTACTTGAAACAAACCCAAAATGCTTAATATAAACTTTGGTGTCAAAGACCGGGCGCGTTCACCTAGTTAGCGTGCTGGATCCGGGGAATTATGATTCGTGTTTGACACCGAAAAAACAACATGCTCCGTACTTTGGGGCAATAATTTAACTTTCCACCATTTTGGGCCTGGCATGGTTAGGGCACTAGACTCGCAATCTGCGGGTCGCGGGTTCGAATTCCCGTCCCACCAAATATGCTTGCTCTTTCAGCAGTAGGAGCGTTATAATGTGACGGTCAAATCTCGCTATTCTACTAGAGTAGTTCAAGAATTGGTGGTGGGTGTTGTTGACTAGCTGCCTTCCCTTTAGTCTATCAGTTAAAAATGGGGACGGCGCAGGTAGCTTTTGTGTATCTTTATATAAATATCATAAACAAGCAAACTGTTATCATGTTATATTTTCAATGGCTTGTAGTGTTACCTTGATGCCACATGTATAACATATGACATTCGTAACTGTTACACCTTTTTAATTTTTTTCCTTAGTGTTCAGATGACCCGAGGACAATCCGAAGAATATCACTGAAATATTTGTATTTGAAAATAGTGTCTACATAATATAAAATTATTTTGTGTGGCTAGCTTACTACTCTTACATTTTTTTAACGAGTTTTGGGTTTTAAAACTATAACTTTGGACCATGTGTATCATACGCATTTAAAACTTACCCTCTGTTGAATTCTTGCCGCATTGACGATATGATATTCGAATACTCTGTTATTGTCCTCATCAGTTTGACAATATCTTTGAAGAATGTATTGTGCAACATTGTAATTGTATTTTTTTCGAACAATATTCCAAATCTTCTGCTATGGTTATTATTTTTATATTTGTCAAATAAGGGATTTTTCTCACAATTTCTCAATCAGTGTGGATGCTACAAATGGCATCATGAAATAATAATAAATCCTGCTCACTCTTGCCGTTATTACCACTAATAGTATTCGAGATAATATCAAATTATACGTTTTACTTTCGACATAATAGCTATTTTTGGAAGCTTTAATTTCCCTGCTACAAATATGTTGAATCAATTTAGTACTGTAACATTGCAATTAAATTGATCTTTCGCAAAGATATTGTACTACAAAATCAGTTATGTTTCATATTTCAGTGTTAGCCATCGTTCTACCCGTCGCTGTCATCTTGCTTGTTCTACTTAGTTGTTGCTTGCTGTATTGTTGTCGATGTTGGCGCCACCAACGTCACAAAAAGGCGGAAAAAAAAGCCATGATACGAGCGATGGGAATGAATAACGGAAGCCCTGTTGAAGGCATCGTAGATAAAAAAGCTATGATCCTGGATTCCTCTAGTGATATCAGTGTTGATCATGGTATTCGTCACCCATACAGTTTCGACGGTCCTTATCAGGTGATGACTTTTAATTTTTAAGACTTTTTTACAGCATTTCTTCTAATATTTATAAGTTATGATTAATTGAATTTATAGTATATATTGTGAAATAGAAACGTTATCAGTTTTAGGTTTTCCACGAGATAGAAGTGATGAGCTCATTCTAAGAAAGTAACTATATTGGTGAAACTAATTACTAATTCAACAGATCCAGCTAACACAGCTATGTGTCTTATCTATCTCTGTCTTAAAACTTAATAGCTATTTTTCAAAGACTTCTGAGTTGAAATAATTAATTTGGTATATACATATTAGTATTGAAGTATGCATCTATATAGGCATATACAAATAATATACACACACATACAAATATCCACATTCATACACATTAATATATGTTTTAAATATACAAATATTATATGTTAATACATACACATATTTCCCTATGACAACATTAATAAATAAAAATATATATAAATTTTGATAATATTTCTACAATCGATTTATTTTGTGTTATTTAAAACAGTAGCAACATATTTAAAATACAGATTGTATTCGGATTATACTACTTTAATAATAATAAACTCAAATTGTAAAATCGGTCTTTTACTGACTTAAGCATCATAAAAATTTCAGGTAAGTATTCTTCAAAAACCTTTTTTATATTCTATAATTAGAGTAAGCCCTAATTTTATGTTTTGTACATTTTTATTTTAAACTTACTTTCTAGATCATAATCCTCTACATTTATTCCTAATATAAACATTTATTATAATGTGTGTGTCAAGAAAATGTAGCATTATTAATTATCAGCATGTCTGTTTCTTATTAAAATACGTTTAAACATATTTAGAATTTTGTATGTGTCAAATCGCAAAACATTAAATTTAGAATTTAAACTTTTTCTAGGCCTGTGTCAAAGATAAAAGTTTAGTAACTGAGGTTGAGAATAGAAACCTCCAAATTACTTAACTAGAACCCCTTATAGTGGACAATCTAATGGAGAAGAAAATTATATTAATATCTTGGTTAGAGAAAGTTATCATTAAAACATTTTTTTAAAAGTCAATATTTCATAACTAAGTACAAGAAACTGTAAAACCAGCTATAGCTGTTTTAACATGGGACAAATTGAAGATACTACCATATGATCGAAGTTGGGGCAACGGTTACAACTCACAATTCTCATATTTCTTATGCAAAATAAGAGCGTAAGTTTTAACACATCAGCCATTAGTAATTTTAAAATGATCATTATAAAACTCCTCCTCATTTCCTGCTAATCCTTTATCCAAATTGCCAATGAGGCTTTAAAGTTGTAATTAACCTACAAATGACTCTACGAAAAAGCTTACTTTCCAATGAGTTATATAGCTATATTTACAGCCACTATATTAGAAGCAGAAAATCTACATAACATAAACCTTCTTTGTAAACAGCTGGAAGACAGTACCTTACCGAAGAAGAGCAGTGGAAAGAGTGAACTTAGTCTAGACCGGAGTCTGTCTACCGGTTTTGCCGTCTCACCAATGGTCATTCCTCGCGCCAAACACCACGCCCAGCACCTTCCCAAACAGCTAAATTATGGGGTGTATCAGGGGCAGCTATACGCTTGGTGAAGCAGACTCGTAAAGATGTGTACAAGTCCCTCCATATTGTGCAGGCTGCTTCCTCGAGTTGAAAAAAAAATGTTCAGCGTGATGTAGTTCAAACATAATGAGGTAGTGTTTGCAAAGCGTGCAGCTATTGCATATATATATATATAAACCACATAAGGTACTCAGATCTTCAATGTGAACAGACTTGTATCATATAAATATTTGTATAAATGATCCGGAACTTGGACAGAAAAACATTCGATGTTCCGATTGTATCAGACAAGTAACGCCATCTATCTATATGATTTTTTATAGAGAAAAGTAGATAATGTTTGGTAAGTTGAATTATTCAGTGCCACAATTTTTCTTTCACTAATTTTAACAACCAGATCAGGTTTTCAGGTTCTTTCTTTTAGATAATAAGGATTACAGCAATTAACGAAGAAATTTAGTTTGAGTTTTACGTTGTTGTTTTTTATTGGATTGTTCTGAGGACTAAAATAAAGGTAAATTTTAATATTTATTGAATGTATTTTGTGTGTTATTTAGAGCTTGGTGTTTAAAGCGAAAGCAGGATAACTTCAATCTAACGAACTCATCCCCCGGTGGGACAGCGGTAAGTTTACGGACTTACAACACTAGAATCCGGGGTTCAATTCTCCACGATGGACACAGCAGGTTACTCAATGTAGCTTTGCTCTAAAAATAAACAAACAAACAACGAAATATTTAAGTCATTTCAATTACAAGATGGAGTTATACAGGGTTCGATACTTAACTCACTGCTCTATATCATTTGTATCTATGATATTTCCTTCCCGGCTTTAACTTCAACATACACGTCTCAGTATGATGAAGACGTGGCTATTTGGAGTACGTCTCGCGATCCCCTACAGCCGCTTCAAGACTTCAGACTTTTCTTTGACCATACAATAATCTGGTGCGATACATGACGTGTAGTTTTTAATCCTATTAAAACACAGACTATCCCCTTTCATAGAAGCATTGCTCGTAAAGGAAAAAAACCTGACATCTGTTAAACTTAAATTGTACAATTCCTTGGTTAAATTTACAAGTATAGTCAAATCTCTTGGAATAATTCTCAACAATAAACAATAGTAATTACAGTTTCTTTTCAGGCACATTGTACTACTATATTAAGAGTAAGAAACACAAAAACCTACGTTTTTTTGGTACAATGACAGGTAAATTCTTTATTATTAGTTACAGCCGACTAGTTTCATCAGGGTTCGTAACTGTGTTAGCGAAATTTGTTGACTGTAACTAATAATAAAGATTTTTACATTTTATTATACCAAAAAACGTCTGTTTTTGTGTTTTTTACTCAAATAAACAATAGTCTCACATGAACACACCACATCAATAATGTTTGTTAAAATATTAGCCAAAGAATCAACCATCTCTGTAGAATTGGTGGTAGTAAAAGCAGATGTAACAGTCACTCTATCATGATCATTTACAAAGAGACTTACAGCAGACCATTAATAAACTGAGTAATAATCTGTAATATGTCCGAACACTTATGCAATAAATTACAGAGAGAACAAAACAGAGCAATCAGAATAATTCACAGATTACCAGTCCATATCAAAATTCAATATGCGAATAAAATACGCATATGCCCACGGTAAAAGAACGAATCTCATATCTAGCTTGCTGTTGCTACAAACAAAACTTCAATCCATAATGATAATACTTTTATTTCTAACATGACAAAGGTACTTAGCTCCATTAAACCTAATCAACAGTATATATCAGTTAGAACAAATGATATCTGTATAACCTTCTTAATCATATGTATGAACAAAGTATTATTACTCCAGTTTTACATGTCTCACCAAATGTTTCCCAATCTAAGCTCATATCTGTGCAATGTTCGAGTAGAATATTCAGTGCTCGACCAGTGAAAGTGGGTTTTTTTCTGAGTACTCCCATTTCTCCCCAAATCTCATTCTGGGGACATTGAATCGTTTGATCCTCTTCCCCTCTTAAGTTTGATCCTATGGTACCCACAAGTTGGATCCTATAATCCTCGTCTTTTCAGGAGGAAGCGATGGGATGGAGAATTTGCTTAGCGCTAATCAGGAAGTAGGATCATCGTCAGCAGCTTTCTGTGTCCTTTCGGTTTGCTCTCGATACCAATTATCTATTAAATCAAGAGTGGGGCGAAAAGGGACTCCTGGTTTCTTAACATCAAAATACCTGTCAAGTGGATTGGATTAAATTTCTGTCGGTAGGTATCTGGCATAAAAAGCAACAATCAACTTCCAGGTCACACCACACAAAGACTCAACCTTATCTCACTTACCTTCTACACTGGTTAAATACATTGTTAAACACTTGGCGAGTTTTATAACCATTCAGTTTCCGTTTTGGAATTATTTTCATTACAGTAGAAAATACACTATGCTCTGAAGTTTTACCTTATGGCCGAAGAGAGGGCGTAACACTGCTGGCCTGCTAGACCTTAGGGATGGAATGAAATGACAGAGAAAAAAAAAGTTTAAATTTCTCTGTTTTTCAGGGTTACTGATGAGGGTTGAAATTCTACCAAGCCAGTAAAAACCTAGTGACAAGTGGCGAGTCGAATGATAGATTGGGTTTTATATTTGATTATAGTGACTTTAACAACTTGTCTGAAGGTGACGAAACATACAGAGTGTATTTGATATTATAGATAAGTCGCAAACAAAATTTGTTTTAATTGTGTAAATCGAAAAGTGTTGGTGTTTTTAACTGTATTTATGTATGATTTTACACAAGAATTTTATCATTTATTTAAGGCCATTCTACTACAGTAAACTCATTGTGTTAACTTCAATATTCTTGAGTTATGATATGAACAACTAGTCTGTGATACATTTTGTTTTATTATATGTATAAACAAAAATTTAACTCTTTCATTTCCATATTTATAGATACATAGCTCTCTGAGAGTCAGGCGTATTTTTGAGATACATAATCGAAGCTATTCATGTTCTAATATTTCATTAAATATACGAACTTGAAGCTGATACACTTTTCTGAAGTTTAAGGAGAGAAAACCATTTCTTCATAGTGGTAGAGAATTCCAAGCTCACATATGGTTGAACTTTTTAAGGCTAAAACAAAGATTATATAGTACCTTATGTGTGCCCATGATAATTAATGTTAAAGACAGCAATGAAAAAACGAACACAGGAGAAGTTATATCGCAAATAGTGCGAATGAGTCTGATATAACACGCCATATTTAGCCTGAGATTAAATGGCCGGATTTTTTCATCTCTTCATACCAGTCCTCAGATATTTGTACTATGAAATTAATCTTGCATATTTTATATAATTTTCTTGTCTATCGCGACTTTATTCCGATGTCTCTCAGGTAGACCGAATGAAAGTAAATGTAATTTACAGGATGTATACGGAAGGTTGTACACACTTTAAACTTAATAGTTTTTAAGCGACGAAAGGCCCTCCAATGGCACAACAATATGTCTTCGGACTTACAACGCTAGAATCCGGGTTTCGATACTCGTGGTGGGCAGAGCACAGATAGCCCATTGTGTAGCTTTGTGCTTAATTACAAACAAACAACGAAGGATAAAGTCATGCAGAAAACAAGTTTTATAACCACCTTCACATAATGTTTGTCGACCTGGGTGCATTTCTACAGGCATCTTCGCCACTTGTCAAACTGATTGACAAGCACGTGTTCTGGAACTGTTACCAGAACTTCTCTGACGCGACCTTTAGATCGGCACGTGTAACTGGATGTGAGATTTAAGCACTGGACTTGATGCTTCTCAATGGCTAAAAGTCCAATGACGTTAGATTGGGAAAAAGCAGCACCCCATGGTAAGGGTCCTTCACAGCCAATCCAGAAATTTGGTAAGTTTGCTTTAAGTGGTTCACGAACAAAAACGTATACTGTCTTGCTAGAATAAACACGTGTCAATAACATCATCAGATTCTAACGGTGGGAAGAAAACGTTCTTTAGCAACTGCAGGTAACTGTACCCACTGACTCAGTCACTGAATATTCTAACGACACATGGATATTGTGTGGTTGGGTTGATTACGACATCGACTAGTGTGTTAATTAATTTAAAATATATTGGTTGAAAAATTATTAAAAAGAGCTCAATTGAAAATTATAAAAGTTAAATAGCAAGACGACACTATATAATTCACTAATTAGCGCTAAACATATTCAGTAACCAGTTCCTAAAAACACATCGCCTTACCTACGTAATTACATTGTTCAATAGTGTTTGTGCATGATGAATTGTTGAAATTTAGAACTTCAAGTACCACTCAATAGTACTTGTTTTTTTTTGTTCAATAGTGCTTGTGCATGATGAATTGTTAGAATTTAGAACTTCAATACCATTCAGTTGTACGTGTTTTTTACTTAAATTGTTCAATAGTGCTTGTGCATGATGAATTGTTAGAATTTAGAACTTCAATACCATTCAGTTGTACGTGTTTTTTACTTAAATTGTTCAATAGTGCTTGTGCATGATGAATTGTTAGAATTTCGAACTTCAAATATCACTCAATAGTACGTGTTTTTTGTTTTGTTTTACTTAAGAATTGACATTGATAATTTATCAATTGATAAAATCTTAAATCTTGGGTAGGTTGAAATTGGAGAAATCAGGGTGTTTCACCAACATGAACTTCGCCGTGTTCTCATCTTTTTCATTCAAAATTAAAATGGTAACCTTAGAGGTCTGACTAAATAAACTTGTGGGAAAGAATCGTATAAGAAAATAACGACGATATTGATATCAATACAGTTTCTTCTGGTAAGTCGGCGAACACGGTTATTTCTGAACCAGTCCTGCTCTTCAGTAACCATAACACAACATTCTGTGTCGTCATTTGATAAGCTAAAGCATTAACGTACGAAGCGACCGAATAGGTCCCAAATACATTCTGTATGAGTTAACTCGAACCTTTTTTGCTGTCTAATCCATCTATGGTTTCTTTTATAAGATAGTTTGTAACAATCCTGTCATTACGACACTAAGCATTATTTATGTCGGAAAAAAAAAGACTGTTTGACTTTATTTCTCTTGTAAGATTGTACGTCTATTCATATGGATGTATTGCCACACAATAACCAAACTGTCACCAAAATGGTCACATTAATTATATTTCACTGACAATATCGTTCACCTATAGCTATCCGAACATGAACCTATCGATTATTGTTAGATAAGTTAAGCCTTAACTCATCTATGAAGAATTACAGGCTTTCAAAAGTTTTCTTTTCAAGCCTAGTGTCTCTCTAGAGACCAGCGCTAAAATCCGGAGTTATATAGCTTTCCACTAAGAAAACACCTAATCAACCAGCCAAACAACCAACCAAATCTGGTGATTTTTATAAACTTCAAACAGATTGTGCAGCGTTCTAATATTAAATATAGTGATTGAGACAGGGTTTAT